CCCACCCCTGCCGCCCCTCGCCTCCTTCCCCTCTCCTGGACAAGCTGCCTTCCTGGAACGGATAGCGAGAGACCCAGCAACAAAACCCTCTCCTCAAATTGAAGCAGCAGAAGGGAGCTGCTAACCTGGCATTTACTAATCTTTGTCCCATCTGCTAAGAAACAGAGGGTGAAAAAAAAGACCTACAGAGGCAATGACTTCACAGGACAGTTGGCTTAGGCACCGATCCAGACACCTTTGAAGCTGTGTTACAAAGAACAAGCCTCCCTCAAGCTTCCCTCAATGCAATCATTACCGTTATCTCTCCCCCTGTGCTGCTTTTTTTTTTTCAGTTACGAGTTATGTGTTCCACCCATCGATCCCTGTGTAAGACACTGTTTTAAGTCCTCTTGCCTTTTGACTGTGCTAAGCCGTTTAAGAGATGACAGCAGCTTCTATCAGTGCGAAGCTGATGTGATTCTTTTCAGATAAAGCACTTTTTTTTCACTCCCCCCCTCCCTTTCTCTTCTTTCAAGTAAGAGACACACACACAAAAAGAGACACTGAATCTTTCAAAGAAAAAAAAAACCCCTTTGAACTTCCCCCAGGAATTCTTTAAAGGGATAACCTTACAGTGTAAACACTGAGGGTAACGTATATCCATTCTGCAGGGGGAACAGAAGAATTGCTACAAATATGTTGAGCGTTAGGAAAAAAAAACCCCCCATCAGAGAGGGAGCCACTTGATGCTTCCACTTGTGAAGCCTTGTTGGCTTCCTAAACACAGAAACTCATTAGACAAAGATGGCATGAAATAATCCCCTGTAACAAAGAGCCTCAGAGAGGGATGATCCAAAGACATGGGGATAGATGGTCACTGAATGTTCAAGTATTTCAAGAGAAATTTGAGTCTTGTGACACTTGTCCTGAAATAGGGACACATTTGATTATTACATCTCTATAGCTTTTCACTTTGAAGCACAAGCTTGATTTAAACAGTGAATGGTATTTCATGTTGGTAACCTTCTGCACCCATCCCAAACAGAAGCAAGAACTCTCCTGCTGCAAACACCTACTTCAAGTAGGGCCTCTGCTGAAACAAAGTGATTCCAAATCCTATTTAATTGCTAATAATCTTAATTTACACCCTTCATTCTTCCAATTTTGGGCAAGCAAATTAAGTGATACCAAATGATGCTTTAAGAAGTCAGGAGGACAGCTAGAAGTATCAAATAATTCCTGACTGAATGCCTTCAGCAAATCCAACAGCTTAAGAGACAATATACTGATCACAGCACTTCCCAGTTATGTCATATTCCTACTTGCTGCCATCTCCTGCTCTTTCCACCTGCTACCTCAAGGATGCCAAGCTGTGGCAGGCAAGAATGTATGCTGCACTAGATTCAAATAGTGATTTGCAGCTGCAACACCAACACAGAAGACAAGAATTTCCACCTTCTAAGACAGCCCCTTCAGGTGAGAGGAGCAAGTCTTCCCTGCGAGCACTTTGGAAGCAAGAAAGCTTCATCCTAGGAACCACAGAAGTGATAGTTTCAGCCTGTGACTGCTCCCAACTATTAGACCAGCTTCCAGAAAATCTGAGCAGGGCTGTTCATTTCTGTGACCTTTCTGTTTTCAAGAAGGAAGATTCCAACATCTCACAACCCTCCTCCACCTGAGAACCTGGCAGGATCTTTCATATAATTAGCAAAGAGCTTTCGTCACCTGGAGAGTGATATGAACTTTATCCATTAAACAAAAATTATAAAAAGAAGCCAGGACCTGTGTGAAGTTCGAGTCACTTCTATAATGCTGCCCAATGGTCTGACCAACTTGTGCAATACACACTGGCCGCAGTGTCCTGCTCCCCCTTTGCCCAGCTGTGACATCTCCTCAAAGCAATACACCATTAAAACTGAAATTAATGAGACACACAGACATCTATTTTCCCCTCTGGTTTTATACATTTCCCCATGTCGCCTCTTTAGACACTGGTGACATCCCTGTAGCCTGGCAAAGGCTGTCTGGCATTATAAAAAGCCTTTGATTTCCACATCGCTGCTACTTCTCGGCAACGGGAACAGAGCCAAACACAAAGCCTCAGTGACGGGGGTTAACGAGGGCTTTGCCAACTTCAGACAAAGCAGTTTTAAGCATTGGAAAGCATCTCCAAAATGTTGTGCTGTGCTTCAGGGCTGTAAATTAAGAATTCTGTCCCTAAAACAAGGCAAGAGACAATACCGGCAGAGAAAGGAAAAAGACAAGTCACCTTAAGGTTACCTGAGAGTGCACAAAGCAGGCCTGACTTATGGAGACTTCTGAATGCCAGCAGCCAGAGACAATAGGAGAACCACAAAAGGCAGCATGAAAAAGTGTAACTTGCTTAAAAAGGAACAGAGTCAGCCAGCTATGGGCCATCATTCCAGCTTTGCTTTGGCTTCCTAAATTTTACAGAAGCTTCTTGCACAGAGTAAGTAGGTACCCTGCAGATATTATCTGGTCATCCCAAAATACTACATAGAAAGTTGGTGGCAAGAAGTTTCCCAGTTTAGAGAAGAGGAAACCTCTTTAGAGGAGCATGGCAGCTGTTGAATCCAGCTGCCAGCAGAGGCTTGCTCCATGGGAGGAAGGGCAGGGAGAAACGCGTGTGCTAGGGACCTGCCACTGCTCAGGTGGGGTAATTTCTTCAGCAGTGTCTCTGCCACCACAAGCTGCACAAAGAGGATGCTCCTCACTACAAATGCTATGGGGAGGCTCCTGTGCTTGTGAGCTGATCTACAGACACCTTTCATCCAGCACCACAGAGGGAAGGAGTCTAGTCCAAAAGCCGTCTCATCAGAGTAATTATTGAGGGTTTTACAACTGCATCTAGTTGTGCTCTGCTAGTTTTCTGATCCTTTGCTGGATCTGTTAATGGAACTAAACACTCTTGAAGGTGTCATGAAGGTCTCAAAAAGAAAAAAAAAAAGAGACAGACCCCATATTTCCTGATGGAAGCAAGGCTATTTCTAAGTATAAAACACAGAAGTACCTGTCAGCCATCTAGCAGAGGTTACACCCCTCAGCACTGACTGTCACTAGAATCTTTCCAACCTCTGGTGGAGGAAAGTAGTTGATCTATATAGCACAAACTAACACATTTGAGATTTCCTTGAAATGAGGAAGAAAATCCAATAAGGAGCAAGTACTTTGCATTTACACAGCCTAATCATATAAATTACATTTTGTCCACCTGAAGCCTAATTTGAGAGTCTCCACATGACTGAAGGTCATGAAAGGTTCAGATCACACTTCAGTGAGTTAACTCAAAAACAACCAGGAATGTTAACCAAGTGAAGACAGCACAACGTCCACACCAAAGAAAGATTGTGCTCTGCTTACACTCAGGTGTTCGATGGGAGCAAAGGAAGAAACTACACATGCACAAAAAAGGGTAGAAATTAACTGAGTAGCTTCTTCTAATCAGGACTAGCAGTGACAATGATAGAGGCACACAGACATCCCATGCTTCCCTGCTACAGACTGTAGTAACGATACTACATAAACATAGTCTAAGGTCCTCCATGGTCTCATCAGACCTCTACCTGGAGTCATGTACAGACTCAGCTCTCCATGTGGGCACAAAAAAAGTTAAGGTAGGTAAGTCTACAGACACCGACAGTGACAGTGTGAGCTTCACTGGGTAGCCTTTAAAACCTGAAGAAACTGCTCCTTCACCTCTGTGCTCCTGATCATCTGCTCTGCTACAACCCAGCTACAATTTAATTTCAGAGGAAGGTAAGAGCAGATCGGGAGTGCCAGGTTGTCAGCGAGCACATGGCTGGCTTTTAAGTCCAACTCCCTTATGTAGTAGCCTTTCCCCTTAAGATATTTTAAATTAAAATCCAAGCTGATATAGGAAGAGATCACATCCCATCCTCTTTATTTAGCGGAAGGAGCCAGCATTCCTTCTCTCATTAGGCATGAGCTACGTGGATTGCTTGCAAGAGACTCTCCTTAGTGCCAGAGGTTCATGCCAATGAACAGTTTAGTAAATCCTCCTCTTTGAGGCCAAAGGGCTGAGTGTAAGAAAGGGGCCAGGTTTCTAGCTAAAATTACATTCACCAATAAAGCTCACAAGAGGTCAAATTTTGCCATAACTCACGCTCTCCTCAGTAACTGATTTCCCCATCACTGGGTAAGAAGCAAAAGGAGGAGGAAAAATAAAATGTGTTTGTCTGGAAGCCCTAAGGGCTTGCAGTGCTGGAGGTGCAGAGCAGGTTCCTAGATTCTCATTTATCAACCTTAAAAGGGATGGAGTGATAAATGCACAACCGGCCCTTTAATATTTTATGCAGGTGCTAAAGCGACTTAGCTGTCGCCTTCAATACATCACCAGAGGCTGATACACCAGCTTTCGTCACTCCAGGCTGGGAATTTTTACAATTTCATTTCTATTTCCCTCTCTTCACATATTTCCACGTATTTCTTACTATGTGTAACATATAAGAAGCTATTTTCCCCAAAGGATCTCCCCATTTTACCCATTCCTACTCATTCCCTCTTCAGACACATTTCTCAAGCAAGAAATAACACCACGCTTTTGTTCAAGATTTGCACAAATTTTGACTCTCATCATTCAATAGAGGCAGAAAGCTGAAATCACTTTACATTCTGGCACAGGCTGAAGGTCCCACCCTTTGTGAAGGGCACATTTCCAAGTCCCTCCCTTTAAAGACAGACAATGATCAACTTCTACAGCAGAATGATTTACAATGGACCCCAAAACACTGGCGCACCTCGAAATCCTCCCTCCAGGAGCGTAGTAGCCCGTATCCTCTTCTGCCCGCACCATTCGTACTCTTCAAAGCGGTTGCCGTTTTCATTCTCGATGTCCACAGAGTCATCCTCAGTCATGCATGAACCTTCTCTCTGCACAGGGTAAAGCAGGGGCAGAGCGTTGAGATGCATGAAATAGCTCTTTGGGTTAGTAACTCGTGGTGGGATGGAGATTAAAGATGGGCTGTTCCCAGGACAGCTAAGCATAGAGCAGACAGCAGCATTACTCCTGCCCCCATTCCCAGTGATCTAAATCTAGAAGTAAATGGGTGCTGGAAGAACCTGACAACCTTAAGATCAAAACAAGTTACAAGACTCATCATTTTTACACATGGAAATTTAAGCTCTGGTTCCTACAATAATGCTAGTGTGCATTTCGACATGCATTTCCCTGCCTTGCATGCACAATTCCCCTACCATGTAAACCAGACTCCTTTGGCCCCCAGCAG